AGGATTTTTCTGCTGTTTTATTGGTGTTTTAGTATAGTATTTTGTTATAAAATTGTAATGAAAGTTTTTATGTGAATATAATTTATCTTTTTTACGTAAATAATTTCGAGTAATATATATTGAAATAATTGTGATTTTCACGCTGCCGACATTCGCTTGGTATGCATTGTTTTCGTTACTAAAATACAATAGTCTTTTTGTAATGAAGTAAACCCTGACTTTTATATAGAAAATTTTGTATAGATTTTATAATGCCATACTTATTCATCGGATGGGTGCCGTCGCATGCGAGCGCACGAAATTTGCCGGGCGCATGCGACTACATGGGAATTGGGGACTGAGGGGTTAAGAACGGTGAATTCAACATCGTAGACAAAGAACGTAGCAGAAGGCCGAAAGTATGTGAAGACGCGGAATTGGAGGCATTATTGGAGAAAAAATCATGCCAAAAGCAAAAATTATTTGAGGAATCTTTGGCAATGATTCAACAACCAATTTCACATCGGTGAAAATCATTTGTATCATCGACAAATCTAAGCTGGAAATTTTTTATGATTCATAACCAAGGGATTTGGGCTCTATATAAACTGACGCCAGGAAACTTTAAACGCCAATTTTGTATATGTGAAATGCTGATTACCAGGCATAAATGAATGGTTTTTCTGCACCGCATAGTCACTGGCAATGAAAAATGGATTCACTATGATAATCCAAAAAGGAAAAAAATCATGAGACCACCGGCCATGCTTCAACATCTACAGCTAAGCCAAATATTCATGAAAAAAACTCTTGTTTTGAATTAGGTAGGATCAGCTTGGTTCTCGTTGATTATGAGTTTCTCAAACTGAACCAAACCATTAATGGGGCTGTTTACCGAACACAATTGATGAGATTGAGTCAAGCACGCAAGAAAAAGCGCGGCTACTACTGCCCCGGATTCGACAAAGCTATTCTCCTACATGATAATGCAGTCCACATATTGCGTCACCGGTTAAAACCTATTTTTAACATTTGATTGGAAATTTTTATCACACCAGCAGTATGTACCAGAAATTGCTCCTTGTGATTTCCACTTGATTTGATCGATGAAGCGTGGCCTGTCTGAGCAGCACTTCCGTTCTTATGAAGAAGCCAAAAATGGGGTCGATTCGTGGAAATTTTCTTGTTCAAAAGATGAAGCATTCTTACGACGAGGTATCCGTATGCTGCCAGAAAGGTGGGAAAAAATAGTGGTAAGCCATGGAAAATATATCAAATAGAACATAATGTTCCGTTCTTTCACAATAAATGCCCAAGTTTTGATAAAAATCGCGGAAACTTATTTGAACACCATAGTATTGGAGTAATTAATAATATAAACAAACAATCCATCTAATGCTAAGTGGCTACTACCCACGGATACCTATAACTTATTTCAAGCAAAGATCTCCATAGAAGTGTTGACTCCTATGATGACTTGAATGAAATGCTTCACAGACAGTAATCAAAGGGTGACCACCTTATGTTGCTTTCTATTTACCGACCCAGTCGGAATTCTGGGTCGAAAAAGAACTCTATATAATGAGATACTTCCGTAAATTTATAAAAGCTATTCTGAAGAGGCGAAAAAGAGAGTTCATGGTATACTTTGTCCCGTGGGGTCTTAATAGAAGACTCTGGAAAAAGTCAGGAAGTTCTTTTAGATTCCAATAAGTTGGCGGTACCATCATATTACCACCATACCGCTTATGCCATATTTTAGCAAAATCCAATTGGCAGCTAAAAGTAAAGGACCTGTGGTACAGCGCTCACCTCTTCACCAGTCAAACCATCAAACCTAAAACGGGAGAGACCCATGCCCAGTAGTGGCCTTTTGCATTAATGAGAAAAAAGACGAATAAGTTGCCAAGTATGATTTTTTTTAATTGACTTTTGTTAAATATAACTTAGTTTTCATGAACGTTATGAAAATATGTTAAAGAATTTTGAAAACCTTTTAGCGCCGTCTGTACAAATCTAAGTAAACAGTTTTAAAATTATAACAGTCTTTTAAAATTTGGAATTCTACTACTTCATTAGCCACGCTTGACAGCAGATGTTTCGCCACCTCGTCACCTTTGGTATTGATTCCCGCCGGTGGCAAGGTTATAGATTCTCATACTGCGCCACCACATCGCAAAGTCCAAGAACAACTAATAGGGAAATATTTTTGAATCTTTGATTATTTTAAAATACGATAAATTACTTAACAATCAGGCCATTTCATATCACCCTTGAAAGGGAAAATATTTAACGATTAATTGTACGTAATTATATATATTGCGTTAGCGTTGGCATCAATAAGTTAAATTAAATCATGCCTTATAGCTGTGCTAAATAAATAACGATAAGAATACGCAACCATTTAAATAAATAATTTATTATCATACATTTATTTTTCTATATTCATAAACGTTTTAACTTTTTAAATACAATAAAGTATAAAACTTGAATAAAATAATAGCTTTTATGTTTTTAAAACTAACGTATAAGTATTTCGTCTTCCTTATCTAGTTGTTAATAAAGTAGCACGTTATTTTCGCTTTACACGTCAACATAATTATAGTCAAATTTGTTTTATTTTTAAATCATACAACTTTTAGCAACAATTTTCGTTTAACTACTATAATGATGATAAATGTATTTACGGTATACCGTAGCATGTCGCCTGCATCTTTATACTGCAACGGTTATGGTAAGAAACTGAGTTGTAGTTACGAAATTTATCATCGCTTCTATTACATAATCATTCACTTTTTACTGTCCATAGCTGAACATAAGCCAAGTTTTGATAAAAATAGATACAGTAGATTGCCCCATGGGTGCTTTAGAACTACTCATTTTTAACTTTATAATAGTTATGTTTAACCAGACCTGTAATATTTGCAAAAAACCCGAGAAAAAAGGAAACCTAACGTGTTCTAAATGTAAGCGTAATTTTCATAAACGGTGTGTAACAAAATCTCCTAGAGAGCACATTCCTGAAAAGGAAAGAAACGGTTATCTTTGTCACAATTCTTATATTAACACTGAAAATAGCGAAAATGAAGATTAACATAATGAAAACTTCATTGGTGACCATCATTGACATTATTGACAATCATCTTCCTAATAACAACTAAAATTAAAAACTGCGGCTGCGAACTCTTTTGCCAAGCGTGGCAACAATGGTAAGTATGACGCAATCTATACGGGAGACCTATGTTCATCTACGTATTTCTGAGAGGTTTTTTTTTTGAATGATCTGAATTAATCACACAGAATTACTACTTCATTTACTTACTAGTAACCAATTTTTATTACGGTTGCAATTTTTTTTTTATAATTCGTCCAGTTCCGCGTATAAGAAATTTCTCCCTGTGAGGAAATACATGGAGGAGGCCTATTTTCAGTAATAGACTTTTATAAACCGTATTGAAAAGTTAATTTGTTTCGCTGCTTCTTCGCTTGGGTTCAAAATTTACAGTGGTAAACTGCTCAAATTAGTTTTTCCTTTAAATAATGTGCTAGACACAGATATTAAAATCGGTTATGATGTAGATGAGAAGGTGTTTTTTCCCCACGAATTCGCTTAAAACTTAACACCTATAACGCCTTAACTCGCTTCCAATCAAGAAGCTACTCATAAGTCACTTTTTCACCGAGAGCTTCCAGAACAGTTAAGGCCTAATCCCGCAAGCCTAGTGTGAGAGCAGTCATGGCCTGACTTTTATTCCAGCCGTTCGCCTTCATAACAGCTTCGAACTGGATTTTGTAGACTGATCAGGAAGAAGTACCGTCTAACGGTGGCACTTTGAATCCACGAAGTGAAGGTTTTGTAGCTACCTCGGAAGCTGTTATTCCATCCCCAAGTTTGTGGTCATTCAGCATTTTCTTCATCTCATCCATCACTTTGTTCACTTGGTCGATTCGAGTCTCAGCTTCCGAAAGGCGTTTGTCATACTGAACAACCTTATCCTTCATCCCCCTAATCTCTTCCCTACAACGCGTGCAGCACTAATAATATTACTGCAGCATGACTCTACCATGTATAAACGATTCCACAGGGAAAAGTCGATTCCACAGGGAAGTTGTGCGAGGAAGAAAACTTCTTTTAAATCTATCAGATGGTATGGATGGTATCGCGAGTATTGTCGCGATATATGATGGTGAAATTGTGCGCCTGCAATTAGTCCGAACAATTTCTCAGAGCGCTCCCCGTGGTAGATGCGATAAAATACGCCAAAAGATGCAACATCTCTTAGCAGTGCCAGTGAGTCAAGCCGATCGGAAAGAGCTCGGTCGCCGACGATTCGAAGGAAGGAGCTGGTACTGTGGAGCAGGCTCAGAGATGGGAACAGTATTGTATGTGCGGCTGAACCGGCGCCTTGTAAAGTTGCAGGCGGGGAGCCAGCATGGAATACTGTCCCGCTCTACTGAGCACGCCAAGCTTTTTAGATGCCAATTTGGCCTTCTCTTCTAAGTAACCACGAAACTACATGTCGCTCAATATGTTGACACCGAGGATTCCGTTACTAGCTGAGGAAACAAGGGGATTGCGATGAAATTGAGGAGACACGACGGAGAGTGTTTTTAGCGGTAAATACGCAAATTTATGTCTTCTGTGAATTAAACTGGACTAGATTTAGTCGCCTCCAGCCCAAGACTTTGTTCAACAAAGTTTCGAGTTCAGACACAAATTTGTCCCAATACTCTGCGGTTTTTTCCCGAGAAATATTTGCATGGCCGGTGTATAAAGCATTACCAGTGCTATCGTCTCAATAACAATGAATGCTACTAGTTTGCAACATGTCTTTGATATGCAGAAGAAACAGCGCTGGTGATAGCACCCAGCCTTTTGGAACACCAGCAATAATGGTCTTGTAATCGTAGCATGAACCGTCTACTATGACCATATTGCTCCGTTCAGCAAGAAAACTGGTGATCCAATTGCGAAATAAAATAAATTTGATGAAATTGTTAATTGCTATTTTAAGTGCTGATTTACCACGTGCTCGGCGGTGAAGGAAAACATCGTGAGGAAACTTGCATGTCTGTGGAATAAGAAAAAAATATTTCGAAGACATGTGAAGTTCGCCAACACCTATTGGGGTTACGCGGCGGACACTTCCTTGCCCTAAAACCGTCTCAGAAATGAGGAAAGCCCTGTGCCCAGCAGTGATACATATGTAGGCTGTAACTTTACTTTACTTTTAGAGATTTAACATGTTATTAAGGTTTGATGTAATCCAATATTTGTATGTGAAAATTGTTTCAACCAAACTTTTTTTTGTTGAAAGTTTTAATGTAATACTAAAGCCAAGTGTTTCTGTATTTCTAGGCGAATTCCTAACTGAAAATTGTATTCATCATAGAAATTCACGCCACGTACTGCAGCATTTTCCGTACTATTAAAGCAATTTTCAGCTCGTGGGACACTCTGACAAATTGAAAAGACGGCCTGTGCAAAGTAACCAGCTACTGTGTGCGTAATGTATATATTTGTCCTTGTTTATTTATTTATCATAAAAAGTCACATAGTTACAGTTTCATAGTCTGCCAAAGTGCTCAGCAGTTTGTTGGCATAAAAAAATGCTCTCTTACTTCCTAACATGCAAAAAAAGTAAATAAAAAAAAAAAGAAAAAACATAGCTTAATACAATTATACTACTAGTAATATCACTAACCAATAGTATTAATATAACATTAATCAGTAATTTAAAGGACAACAGCATTTTTCATATACGCATAAATGTTGCATGTATGCTTACACATATACATACATACATGCATACATACATACATACGCATACATAATTATTACATTATTACAGCTTACCTATAATGTTGTTCAATGGACCGTCACGACACATTCAATTTTTACTATTTATTAGTATAAAGTTTTTTTTTAACTTATTTTTAAACTGTTTTTTTTATTTATGCTTAAGGCATTCTTGCGGTAAATTGTTATGAATTTTGGTTCTTAAATGTTGGTATGTTCTTTTATCATAATAATTAGCACATTTATATTGTAATGTTATTACTAAATGCGGTCTGCGCGTATAGTTATTTATGGGGATAAAACTACGCAATGCGTCACTTAAGATTGTATAATACTTTTCACATGTCGGAAATTATATTTTAAATTGCTCATGTATCGGTATTAAATTATAATCCTGGAAGAGCATCTCATGATTATCCCTAAATTTAATTTTAGCTTTTGGGTTTGCTAATACTTTCATAAATCTGATTTGAAATTGATATAATTTATTTAAATATGTTTTGAATGTCCTTCCTTATGTTACTAATCCAATATTGTAACGTTGACTTAACTAATGCGTAATATACAAAATGCTGTACGGTTTTAGGTGTTACTTTCTTTAAAAAATAGAATTTACTTAAAATACCTCTTAATTTATTACACACCTGTTCTATATGGCTACCCCAGTTCATATTTACATTTATTGTTAAGCCTAAGTAATTATTTTTTTTATAAATTCTATAACATTATATTCACATTTAAATATATTGTCATGTATACACTGATAAGAGTGGCCCATTATCCTATTTTTTTGCATTTTTAATATTATGCGTGATATGACATATCGTCCGTGAACTTCTGATACTTCCTAACTCGCATTTTTTCGCAAAACCTTTTTTAACGCCATCGTTTGACAGAGATCAGAACCAATAGAATGCATTAACCTCCTAAATAAAATACTTGTTTTTTTTTTGGTCACAATCCGTTCGGAGAAATACCTTCTAAATTTTGCCGCCCTATTTTTGCTGGAAATTTCTCCTAACAGTTTGCTCGAAGCGCGTACACGGCTATTTAGTATTCTGGCGTTTGGCATTTAAAAGTATTTTTTTGGTATTTTTATCACTTCGTTGGTATTTACATTAGTGTTATAGCTAACTGAAGGTGTTTCACTAATTTGTTTCATAAAGTAGGTACGTATATTATTATTAGCTATGATTTATTTCAGGTTAAAGTTTTTTTGTCAGATAGGAGTAATTTCTTTGAACACTTTTTACTTCAATTTGGTAAGTTATGTTTTCAATTAATGCAGTTAGAAGAAATTTCTTAAAAGTTTAGTACTTACTTTTACCTTCTTAAATATCTACGATCTTTTAACCTGTCTGAGGAGTACGATCATAAATTATTTGGTATTTTGTGTAGTTAAAAGATAACTTATTTATTTCAGATTTTGTCATAATGGCATCAAGAAACAGAGCACATGCACTCGTTAATATAATTTGCAATCCAACTGAACCAGAGAATATGGCATCCACATCTCATACACCTGTTTCTGTTTTGGTAAAGAATGTCCTAACAGAACCACATTCTTTTGAAAGGATTGAATCTTAGTTAGGGGAAATTTTACTAACTGCAGACAATGACCTCATTCAATTAGAAGACCTAGTGGCGCTTGACTCACCGTCGCTATTAGAAACACCGTCTCCGAAGCCAACTTCACCACCACCTGTGAGAGATGCTTGTGAGGACTTTTCGCCTGATGACGACAGCGATTACGAACCACCCAATGATCGTGGTGCTTTAAGTTCGGATTCAGAAAATATCCCTCCAAATGAAGAGACTCTGCAAACGAACGAAGAGGTAGTTCACTTTGGAGATATGTTTGAAGGCCGACGTAGACAGAGACTAGCTCAACCCGAAAGTTGGAAGAAAAGTATTACTAAACGGTTAAGGATGGAGGGGAAAGAGTATGTCGGTTACAAAAGACCAAAGGGTGAGAAAGTACAAAGCCAAATTCGAAACCAAAGGGTCCTTGGCCCTAAATGCAATTCAGATTTTTGTAGAAATAGTAAGTTGAGATGTTGTGATGAAGTAGGGGATGAGGACAGAGAGAAGATATTTCGACAATTCTGGAGCAATATGGACTGGCATCAACGAAAAGTGTATGTTGCTAACAACATAACTTTTCAGGAAAAAGGTAGGCAGACATCAATAAATTCGAGAAGAGCTGGTACTTTCGTTTATTTTCTTCCAGTGACTAATTCTGTAGATGGAACCACAACTAAGAAGCGTGTGTGCCGTGAAATGTTTATTCAAACTTTGTGTATTGGAACATTTTCAGTTCAAAATTGGGCAAAAAAAAGGAATAAGTGGCATGCATCTATCTGAAAAAAATAATAATCGTAACCGTCGTCCTAAAGCGCAATTGTCTCAAAGACTTGACATTCTCGATAACTTTTTCAATGTATTACCTAAAATGCCGTCGCATTACAACCGTCATAACACTACCAAAGTCTACTTGGAACCAATTTATCGCAACGCCACTCACTTATACAATACTTATAAACAATACTGCTCAGAAAAAAATGCAGATCCTTACGCTAGAAATAAATTCAATCAAACTATCAAATCGAAGAATATAGCTATCCACACAATAAAGAAGGACATGTGTGATGTTTGTGTAGGTCATCAGACCGGTAATGTAAGCGAAATTGACTACCAAACACATCTAAGAAGAAAAAATCGAGCCCGTGAAGAAAAATCTATGGATAAAAGTGAGGCGATCAAGGGAAACTGCATAGTTTTAACAATGGATTTACAATCGGTTAAAATGTGTCCGTTTATCACAGCTAGTGCTGTTTACTATAAAACAAAATTATGTGTTCATAATTTTACCATCTATGATTTAGCATCTCATGAGTGTACATGTTACTGGTTTACAGAAACGGAAGGTGGTCTATCAGCGTCTACCTATGCGTCATTTATTATTGATTATTTGACCCGCCATAGCCTTCCCAAACATCTACCCATAATAATATACTCAGATGGCTGCACAAGCCAGAACCGAAACAATGTATTATCGAATGCTTTATTAAATTTCTCCATGCAACATCAAGTGGCTATAATACAAAAATATCTTGAAGTCGGACACACGCAGATGGAAGGAGATTGTGTACATAGCGCTATAGAAAGGAAATTGAAAAATAGGCTAATCCACTTACCAAGTGATTACCTGTCGGTTACCAAAGAAGCTCGCAAAAATCCTTGTGAGTACGAAACTGTAATGGTAGACTATACTTTTTTCAAAAACTATTCGGCTCCTGAAACATGGCGCTACACTTCGATCCGACCGGGACGCAAAGCTGGAGATCCAAATGTTACTGATATAAGGGCTATTTTTTATGCCAACACAGGCCTGATTAAGTTTAAATTGGACTTTGACTCCGATTGGGATAGCCTCCCTCAAAGGGTTAATAAAATTGCCATCATAAGAGAGTACGCATCCCTGCATAGGAATAGAATACCTATCACATACCAAAAATATAAACATTTACAGGAGCTAAAGTCTGTTATCCCATTGGACTATCATTCCTTTTACGACAGTTTATCTCATAATGAACATTAACATTCCTAATGTTACCTTCGTATTAGAAATATGATTTAACATGCTGGATAAATGATGAGAATTACTTGCTAAGATTATTTTAAGTTTTATAAAAACCTCAAAGATTTGAAATAATTTTTAAGAATGTTAATTAATTTTTAAAGCAATCTTTTTCAAGACTGTTTAAGTTTAAGTTTTGTTTCTCATATTTTTATTAATGTCTGATTGTGATTTTGTAACATTTCCCTTTAGCAACATAAATAAATATTATATTTCTGTATTTTATTGTTCTTCCTTAGTTCAAAATTTAAGTTAGATGCACACTTTGGGGGTTGATTTCTCCTAAGTAACTAAAGGAAATATCTCCTATCTGACTTTGGTATTGAATTCGAAAACTTAAAACTCCTAACTAACATAAAACAAAAAAAAAACAACAGCACTAACTTTATTTAATTATAATTAATAAAATGACATAAAAACCGACCAACTACTTTTTTGTTTTATAAAAAAACATCGTGAAGGGAAATAAATCAGTTTTATGGCCCTACTGTAAAATTTGTTTGTAGGTAGAGAGGAGATCTCAGAAGTTCACGGACGATATGTAGTCCTTTAGTTTTTGCTGTGTTAATAATAATTCCGTTGTCATGAGACCATTTAGTTAGGTTATTGAAATCACTTTGTATGTTTTTCTCTTTTTCATCTTGGTTTTTGTTGGCATGAAGGATTCACATGTCATCCGCATACATAAAAACAGCACAGTGTTCAATTTTGTTACATATACTGTTTACATGTATTGTATAGCCTACTCGTCCACATACGGATCCAGTAGGCTTTTCCAGTAGAATGTAGATGTAGATTTTGGCAATAGGATTTTCCAATAATATTTTTAATTTTATTAAATTATTTTCCTATTATGCAAATAATAAATAATAACTTAACCACTTGTTAATGGGACGCATATACCATATTAATCAAAAGATTATGTTCTAAAGTGTCTGTAGGGGGGTATTTTGTGAATTGTGACCCTCTACATATAATTGATATGTAGTATATTAATGTAGGTTGTATCTTCTACGTTACGGGATGTGGTAATTAAAACTGTGTCCGTTTCCGTAGAGAGCGTTTATTGTACTGAAAATACTTATGAATAAAAAATGTAATTATAGTGAACGTGTCGCGCGCGCAGGCGCGATATCAGCATTATTTTCTAAACTGTTGAAATATCATGTACTTGCTCGTACATCTTGCCAATTTTATAAACAAGAAGAAAGTTTAAGGCGATGAACCCCTATTGAGTTTACGGGCAGCCGTTGCGATCACCGCATCCACACTATCGATGTCCGAGACCCCATGCTCCGATGAATGTCCTTGGGTTGGCTGCTCGACATTGTTGGGGTCTGGCTTGTCGCGAAGATTCACGCTGCAGCCTTGACATCTTCTTTTCAGCCGGAAAGTCCCCCATGCAATGAAGGCTACAATAATAAATCCAACTAAGGTGTACAACACATAGTTGTGTGTGTCATGTGTGAGTGATTGTACACTCAGTGTTTGTTGCTGTTCCTTGACCTTATCAATGTTGTTTTTCAGCTCTTGTAAGGCGTCTTTATGATCTTCAGGTCCAAATGTATGATTAAAGTCTGTCAGTATGTGGTTCAGGCTTGATTCACGCATGTACATTCTTTCTTCGCTGCCTGTTAGTTTCAACTCGCTGTGATAGTCGTTGCGAGCATGAATGATGAAGCTTTCTCCCTTGAGCATACACCCAAGTCCGAGTAACATAATCCCCGTGCCGTGTAAGTGCTGTGACGTCAATCCAGCTGGGCAGAAAATGCGCATCGTGCAGTCTTCGCAACAGGAGAACAGCCACGCGCCACGATTGTGTAATCGCACCCACCTGTCGTTGCAATCCAATACTCTTGTGCTGCATGTTGATGAGTCGCCATTGTTTAATATTTGCGCTTCACATAATGTATCGGCTACCTTAATGTTGTAAATAGGTTGATTGATAGCACATAACATTTTGTTTTCTTGCAGATTTAAGCATGATGATACATCTCGGTTTTCTAAGGGTATTATCATGTCCCCTTTTAGGTTTACAGCAAGGTATTCAGATGTGAGTACTATAGTTTTCTCTGTGTGTCCAGTTATTTGCGGAATAGGAATGATGTGGTTAAGTTCATATTGTTCGTTGTTTATTAGCGGTAGCTTCACTTCGAATATTATGTATGCACTTGTTAAGCGCACGTGCACTCGCGCCAGCTTGTATAGGCTTCGCGTGCAATGGCGTGTGTTCACACAGGGTAGCGATAACTCGCTTGGTAAATGACCGGAGATGATGTTGAGCTGATCTTCAAATTGGTTGGGCTTGATGAGATGGGTGTCAACTCTCCCGTCCTTCACGTCAGTTACTAGGTCTAGGAGTTGCTGTTGTATTTGTCGTATGTTTGAAATGATCAAGTTCACGGCCAGAGCGGTAGCTGTTATGTACATAGCATTGTCATGGCTGATTTGTATGCGTTTTTCCGTTTCAGCGAGATGATTGTCGATGATACGAAATTGTGTGTTCATTACTTCCTCGTTTCTTTTTAGAAGATTATATTCACTTTCGATGATCGATGTGTGATTTTTGTAGAGATTCAATAGATGATTTTCGTTTGACTGGATTATGTTGATATCCTTCACGTACTGATTGGCAAATCTCTCATCCAGAGTACCAAAAAGGGAGTTTGCTAGGTATCCTATTCCATTCACTAGTCCTCTTTTTCTTCGAGACGGTCCATGTTCTGATCGTAAGATATCGTTATAGTGTTGAATTTCGTTAAGTTCGTGTTGAAACTGGGATGAAATTGTAAGATAGGCTGCTTCCTTCTTGCATAATGTGTTCAAATGGTTGACATAGTTTTGTATGTTGTCCAAACTCCGCCAATATGTCGTCATGTTGTAGTATACAACCATTTTCCACTTATCTTGAATAATCTGCACATCAGACACCTTGTCAAAATAAACGACTCTTGAACTGCTAAGCCTTGTTATGTTGATCATTTGTTGCGTAGTAGGTCCAACACACATCGAAAATATAAGTAGTAACGTACAAAAAAGGTTGTTGAAGTGTTTTTTGCCGTTGTTGTTTCTTCGTTTTCTTTGTGTATTTATTGCAGGCTTCGTAGTGTCAACGTCAGAAGATGCAGTTGTATAAGATGACGGATCCAACGGAAGGCGTGACAATTTTGTAATCGGTCGCTTCATATTACTTGTTTTAGTTTTCAGTGTGACGACTCGTACCCGGCCGTCCGCACCTGGGTGAGTCTCCAACACCCGTCCCAGGATCCATTTGGCAGGAGGAATGTTGTCTTCTCTGACGATAACGACGTCCCCAACTTCTAAGTTTTTAGTAGGGAAGTGCCATTTGCTTCGAGTTTGTAGAGTTTGAAGATAGTCAGTAGACCACCTTCTCCAGAAGTCCTTGTACATTTTCTCCGTAAGTTGCCATCTTGTAGAGAAGGTCATGTCATTACCCTCAGCGGATAGTGGTGATTCTAGAGAAGGCTCGCCGATTAGGAAGTGAGCTGGTGTCAAGCAGTCAAGGTCTTCGATATTCTCTGACAACGCCACCAGGGGGCGAGAGTTGAGACATCCTTCAATCTGCGCCAACAGTGTAGAAAATTCCTCGAACGTAAGTTTTTGATCCCCAAGTACTCGTTTGAGGTGATGTTTCAGGCTTTTTACTGCAGCTTCGTAGAGTCCACCAGCAGTAGGCCAGGAAGGGGCGTTAAAATGCCATTCAATGCCCCACTCTGACATGTTAGTTATGACGTCATTTTTTTATGTAGCATTGTAATGCCTCCTTTCGTTGTTTTTCCAATGCTCTTGCTGCGCCCACGAAGTTGGTGCCGTTGTCGCTGTAGATGTGACGGGGCTTTCCTCGGCGGGCACACATTCGTTTCAAGGCGTTCAGAAAAGCCACTGTGCTGAGATCGGAGACAAGTTCGAGGTGAAGAGCTTTTGTGCACAGACACACAAATACAGCTACGTAGGCCTTCATTGTCTTTATTCCTCTGCCCTTGTTAGCCTTTACCTCCACATGCCCAGTGAAATCTACACCGGTGTGTGTGAAAGGCCTTGATGGTGTGACGCGTGGAGGAGGTAAATCACCCATAAGTTGGTTGTTGTTGATAGTTTTGAAGCGATGACACGTGATGCACCGTATAAGTCGTTTTTCCACTGCTCTCAAACCGCTGATAATCCAATATCTGTTGCGTAGATATGATAGAGTTAGTCTGGCTCCACCATGCAGGGTCCTCTTGTGCGCTTGGTCGATCAGTAACTCCGTTAACCTGTCATTGTAAGGTAAGATAATCGGATGTTTTTGTTCTTGACTTAAGTTGGCATTTTCCAGACGTCCTCCTACACGTAAGATTTCGTGTTTGTCCAGGAATGGATTTAAGTTTAAAATGCTGCTTGTTATTCGCACTTTATGATGTTTATTGAGTTGTGCAATGTCGTCGGCGAAATGATTAGTTTGTATAGCCTTGATAATTGCATTATGTGCGTTCTGCAGGTCACTCGTTGCTAAGTACGATGACCGCATGGCATTGTTGACGTCACGTGCATTGTTTATGAACCGAAGTATCCAACTTAGGATTCGAGTTACGCGTGCCATACAGCTGTGTTTGTTTAAAAGTTCTCCGATTAATGGCATCGACCTTTGTGACACGCAAACTTGTTTGACCTTTTTCTCTTCAACAGTTGTGTGGAATTGGTCTTGAAGTGGGAGATCGTTGTCTTTTAGCCAAATAGGTCCCCACCATAAATGATGATTCGCCAGTTGTAGTGGAGTTAGGCCTCTGCTGGCACAATCTGCTGGGTTATATTCAGACTTGACGTGCCTCCAGCATCCCGATGGCATGATGACAGTGATCTGTGTTACGCGATTAGCCACAAATGTAGTCCATCTTGAAGGCCCCCCTTGTAACCAACCCATCACGATCATAGAATCTGTCCAACCATGTATTGTTACAATC